CCATGACCCGACCATGTCATTTCACCATGCAAATGTCATATCACCTTGTCCATGTCATATCACCAAATCCAAACCATGTCCTATCACTATGTCAATGTCATATCACCATGTCCTATCATCATATCATGGACGGTCAGGCAAATTTGCATTCGTACATTATTATACAAATGTTTCTCAATTTCAGGATAGCTTGTTTAGCAGAGGCGACGACGATCTTGAAGAGGAGATGAGGAGAATTGGGGCAAACCCGACTGGTCTGGACGACAGATACGCGGACATGTCTCAAGACAGTATGAGTACAGATGTGCCAGCTAACGTTACCTTGGGTAATCATCATTCTTTTTTTTTGGGGGGGGGTATGAATCAAATCACTGCCATTTGATACTCTACTTGGAAAATACCCTTTAATTTCTAAAGAATGAAATAATTAAAATAAACACTGTTTATTTTTAGAAACAATTCTCGACGAAATGAAGGCCCTGCGGGCACAGGTCAGAGGTCTGCAGACCACAGTGGACAACCTGAGGAGCGATATAAGAAACAGGCCTGGTAGCAGTTCTGGCACAGGGTTGCCTTCAATGGCCGTGGTAAGATAATAAAGTAAAGTTAACATAAACAGACTACTGTATTCTAAAGGTCTAATTTTACTAAAATATAATATTTATTAATTTGCTGAAGATAACAGTCTCGATAATCCGAGGTTTACACGATCATTATTATTATACGATCACATTTCAAATATTTGCAAATGGTATTGTACAAATATTATAGAAGTTAATAATATTTTATTTAGAATTCAATTGAATGCAAAACAGATTTCATTTCATGAAAATCAACGTACCCTGTTCATCGTGAACCTTACTTAGATAACATTTTCTTGTAGGATGCGATAAAGCAGTTTGTGAAGGAGGTCTTACCTAAACATCCCTATGACCCTTTGGAGAAGGAGGAAGTCATTGTAAGTTACTAATCTAGTATTGTTATAGCGTCTGCATTTTCATGAACGACTACTTTCGGAGGTTCAGATCTATCAATCTATGCCAATGCCTTACCGACACATAGACACTAGACAGAAGATATTAATTCAAATGTATCTTGAATTCTTGAATTAGTAGTGCATCCACTTTGACTCAAATGAAAGCCCCTAGACTAACAGTTGTCGCCTTCAAGCTTGACCAATTTTATTTTCAGGTAAAGCTGAGAACACTTCTCAAGAGGTACACGGTGGTCAATGGTGCTAGCTTCATTGAAGCTAGCAAGATCTTCAAGAAGCAATTGAGGGACCTCAAAAGCCGCATTCAAACAAATGTAAGAATTGTCTTCGAAAAGAATTAGCATTCTGTCGAGTTATTTACTTCTGATGTTAAACATGAACAGAATTTCTGTTTCCACAATATATACTTGAACTAAATTATGGACTGTAAGGCAAGGTTAAATCATAAAAATAATGGAATATACTTGAAAACAATGCACCCCTCCCCAATTAATTCATAGTTGATGCAACTGTCAAATTACAAGCGTGTCTGTTTTTGTTTTAGCTGTTATCAAAGAAGCAAAACAACAAAGCTTCGATTGAAACATTGAAGACGACGCTTCTAAAGGACTTGGGAGAAGGGGAGACAGGCCAGGGAAACAAGCACAAAAATGTCTTAATGGTCACCCTGGTAAGCAAATTAAAGTCTACATAATTATACGTTAATATGCGCAATAATAGTGAGGTTAAGCTAGCACATAGATTCGAAACGCAAACCTATACGTATGACCAATCGCCCATACAAATGCATCGCTTAAATAACTTACGTTCGCGTTTAGGTTGTGAAAACCAGTGCTAGCTTAACCTCACTATTGTTTCAAAAGTAACCAACGTAATTTGATTATTATGCCAAAAATAGTTAAAGAGTTGTATAACAAAAATATCATGCAATAATTATAAAGAACAACATTGTCTTGAACCCCATCAAATGTAACCACGAATACTGTTTAAATCGTTGCATAGGAGGATTACTCTTCCATTACAAATAAATATCGTTTTGTTTGCAGTCTTCTGTCGCAACAAGAGAAAAGCTCTGGGGAGCCATTAAAGGAAGATCAGCGGGCAAGGTGATTAACGTTTTCGGATGTGCCAAGACAACATTCAATAGGTACGAATTTCCTAATTAGAGAGTTTTTCACTTCGTAAATTTTTATTAAAGAATAGCTTTTATAAAGATACAATAAAACATAGAAACGAGGTACACGTCTAGATACAGCTCCATTAGAACAGAAATATCAATTGCCTTGCTATAAAGAGTTCTCCACAGATTTGAGTTGAGATTACACAGATTTATCTTTTACAAGCATTTTTTACTGGAAATATTGTTTATAATATTAGGCTACTTTACCAATTCACCGAGGGAATTATTTAAATACACAATTATACTGAAAATGTATTTTGAAAACATGAAGATTAGTTTGTTTTATGTAGGTATGTTGAAGGTACGCTTCTGACTTTAAGCCTTTGGAGTTGGTGGGAATTATGTTTTTCGGTCCCCTCCCGCGATCATTATTGATCTTTTCAGTTTCAATATACAGACTCGGCGGACATTTCCGCTTCAATACTCTAATAAAATTTAAGCACCAAAAATTGTATTTGTTTAACCAAGCATTCACTTTTCAATTCAGATACAGTATCCTGAATGAGGAGGAACTGCAGGAGAAAATCGACAGGCAGAACAATCTGAGCTCAAGCAGAACATGAACATTAACCCGAGAAAATGAACTGAAAAAATGCTAACAACCTAGTGCAACTGACTGAATGCTAGTGACTGAGTGCAACTGCCTGAATGCTAATGACTGAGTGCAACTGCCTGAATGCTAATGACTGAGTGCAACTGCTAATGACTGGGTGCAACTGCCTGAATGCTAATGACTGAGTGCAACTGCTAATGACTGGGTGCAACTGCCTGAATGCTAATGACTGAGTGCGACTGCCTGAATGTTAATAACTGAGTGCAACTGCATGAATGCTAACGACTGAGTGTAACTGTGTGAATCTATAGCAATATATTGTAAAATATCGTAAATTGTAAATAAAACAACATAATACAGTACAATACTAAAAATGTTCATTTTTTATTATTATTACTACTGTATATAATCAAAACTCACTAGATTATAAGAATTACTTCCAATGGCAAAGTGTTTCAATCCAAAATGGGATTGCAAACGAATGAATGAATAATAAATAAACAATAATAATAAACAACCTTAACATCCTACACGATTGGTTTTCACAACCAGCTATTTCAACACAAATCCAAAATAATAATAATATACAAGCTTTTGCTGTAACTAATTTTGAACATATTCGACGATGTTTCGGCACCAAATCGACGTTGAATCGACGATGAATTTCGACGCCATTTCAACACTGATTTCGACGTTGTTTCGACGTCGAATGTTTCTGCTCGTTTATCGCTGAAACGACGTCGAAAATCGACGATTTTTCAACGTTGAATTGGTGCCGAAACGACGCCGAAATATAGGTTGCAGATTGCAGGTGTACAGTTTTCTCCATCAAAAGTACATAGCGCCACTAAATCGGACACGTTGTGGGCATATTCTTCCAGTTGTGTCATAGTTGGAGTCGCTAGTCCAATTATATCACTCAAATCATCAGCGGCTGAAGACTTCAGTATTTCAACGAAGTTATTTGGATCCTTGATGTTTGTGAACGGTGATTCTTTGAATGTAAATGGCTCGTCATAGCCTGTATCAGAAGACTGACTACACAGCCAATATAATTCGGCACCGTTTCGGCATCGAAAAAATTCGGCGCTGTTCCGGCACCGTTTCGACACCGTTCCGGCACCGAAACCTTTGGACACTTAAACTTGCTACCGGACTAGTCAGTCCATTTGGTGCCGAAACGGCACCGAAATTTGGCATCGAAACGGCGTCGAAAATCAGATTGCATTTTGGGGGTATATCCATAGTTCTGGACTTCTGAAAGGTAGGTTTCGCCTACTGGATCAGCATTTGTGGCAGTGGGTGCTAGAGTCGAGTCAGAAAGTGTATTGGATTGACATGGATCCTGGCAGGTGGCACAGGTGCAAGAGCTGTTGTCCAAAGTAGGCGTTACTCTAGCTGATGTTGTCTCAGGGTTTCTGTTTTCAACGGTTGTAGCCGTTGCTACATCAATACTCGTATTTTTATCAGCTGTAGTTGTTGTTGTATCAGCGATCCAGTTAATATCAGTTGTAGTTGTTGCTTCATCAGTAATCGTAGTTTGGTAAGCCGAAGCTGTCATTTCATCATGGATTGTTATATGATCAGTTGTCGTTATTGCTGCATAAGGTGTCGTTACAGGTTTTGTTGCAATATCAGATGGAGTTATTGTTCCATCGGCAGTTTCAGTGTTATTGGGTGGATTTGTCGTTGGATGCATACTCATTGTTTGATCGGTGGCTGTTGGTTTATTCTCAGTTATAGTTTGATCAGGTGAAACCGTTTGTGCAAGATTAGGCACTGTGACCTCATCTAGATCTATTAAACCTTGGAACGCTGTTCCTTTTATTTTACTTTTACGCAACATGTTCATATTGCATATTGTCACAGCAGGAAATTTCATGAACGTCCTGAAACATTAACATTATACTTAATTAGTATCGTCAATTATTGGAGCAGTGATCTTAAATTAAGCATAATATTGCTCTTATCTAAATCTCTCGATATAAGAGAAGAAAACACTTAAAACGCCCATTGTATTTGTGTATATACACCGTATTACATCGTATTATAAGCACGTTGTAGTATAAGGCATACATTAACTTACATTTATAGCAATACTAAATGATATTAAAACTTAAATATTGAATTAATGAAGAGCAATGCCGATTACTAAATGTAAATACTGTACTTCATATATTTCCGGATAAGTTCGTTTCCAGTAAGCTATGAATATTGAATTAATAAAGAGCAATGACAATTACTAAATGTACAATATAACACAAGACAGTGACTAGCTTCCCTTTATGCAATATCAAAATACTGTACTAAATATATTTCCGGAAAATTTCGTTGACAGCAGGCTATGAATATTGAAATTAATGAAGAGCTATGACAATTACTAAATGTACATATAACACAAGTCAGTGACTAGCTTCCCTTTATGCAATATCAAAATACTGTACTACATATATTTCCGGATACGTTCGTTGCCAGTAAGCTATGAATATTGAATTAATGAAGAGCAAAGACAATTACTAAATGTACATATAACACAAGTCAGTGACTAGCTTCCCTTTATGCGATATCAAAATACTGTACTACATATATTTCCCGATACGTTCGTTGCCAGTAAGCTATGAATATTGAATTAATGAAGAGCAATGACAATTACCAAATGTACATATAAGACAAGTCAGTGACTAGCTTCCCTTTATGCAATATCAAAATACTGTACTACATATATTTCCGGATACGTTCGTTGCCAGTAAGCTATGAATATTGAATTAATGAAGAGCAATGACAACAAAGTCAGCACTATCAATGGTATACTACCTTTAGTAAAAGAGAAAAGTCCGAAAGCTTTTTGTCAGAATTTTTACCGGAAGTGATTATATTTCCATTTATCCTTCGAACTGTGACATGTATGCTTATATCTCGACATGTATATGATTCCTACATACCACTACGATCAAAAATGTTACTAACATACCAAATGAAAGGTGATTTCCTGGTCAAACTTGCAAAAGTTGGTCCAAACTCACAACTGATCCCTCCACTCCTCCAATACGCATGTGCAGCGATGTTAAAAATAAGGCCGTGACTGGAGAGCCTAACTTTTAAGGTTCTTTAGCACTTTGGCTAAAGAGCCTGAAATTTTATGCATGTACAAGCCACTCTAGTATATTTAAATGGTAAAGAGATAACATTTTATGAAACATCAGATTTTGGAAAAATATGTCCATATAAAAGAAAATTGTTTTTACAGTATAATGGTAAGGATATTTTATGTGCAACTTGGCTTAGAGCATTTAAGTGCAAAGTAGATACCAAACTCTTAATTATCCACTGGAAAACATTACACAACATATATCATTGTAATACATATGTAATAGGATTTTGAATGGTTTTAGAATTAAAGGTAGTTCTTTTTGTGAGAATTATAATGTAATTGACAATATGTTAAACATATTTTTATGAGTGTACAAAAATTATATATATGGACATTTTTTGATAATATCACTTTTGAACAAATTATGGGTCAATAAGTATAAGAATTGAAAGAGAAGTTTTAATAGCCAGGAGGGCAATATAAATTTTCAATAGAGACAAAACTGGAAGTATACATGCATATTTTGAAAATGAAAAACTGAACAGAAATTAAACAATGTAACTGGGCCTATGTATAATGTATAATTATATTAATTATATATGTTTTATTATTGAAATATAGTTTTTACAAAAAACACACTCTAGTGTAGTGGTTATGGCGTTTGCCTAGTACTTCCACGGCGCAGGTTCGATTCCACGTTGGTACAATTTTTTTCATTATGAACAACAAACTGGAAGTTTGTTCTCTGAGGTCCGGAAATTATGTACACATTTTTTGTAAAATTCATGGGCTCTCTCCAACGTTCAACCATCCATGTTGAGTGAAATTAAACGTGTATTGGCTTACTATATTCACAAGCTTACAGAATACGAGGAATCCCATTTGAAGGTGGCAAAAAGTATGAAGGAGACCTGGGGATGAAGAAAAGGATCTTGTTATATTCAAGATACAGCACATCATGAGGCAGTTTATCTGGAATGTAGGGACATTAGCCAGGGGACATCAGAGAAATCGGAGACATCTTTCTTGGAGCTTTTCCAATTTAAGAGCATTTGTCTTGCCGCAGTGGTGCCATACTATCGGGCAATAATTAAAGTGTGACAAGAAAAAGGCCTTAAATATTGTCATGTGACTTTTCATGTCTAATTTTGGTTGATTTGACGTGCTGCCTTAATGCATAATTCTTTAATATGATCGTTAAAAGTGAGCTTGTTATCAAGGGTTACTCCAAGGACCTTCACAGATTGCTCTGTATGAATTGAAGAATTGCAAAAAGTTAGAGTATCTGGGAGGAAATTGGAGTTAATCCTTGAACGTTGTAACACCATAGCCTGAAATTTATCAGGGTTTGCCAGCATTTTATTTTGATTAAACCAGTTGATGGCAAGAGAAGACTGTGATTTAGGTCTTGAAGAACTGATTATTTGTTTTCACCAATCACAGAGATTGTGTTATCATCAGCATAGTGTTGGGTCTCTATGAAACGATGATGCCAATATGATACGACAAACTTCAGAGTTCAGAGTAACATACGATACTTTATTATACGTCCAACTATACTATCTATTTACAAGCTGTACATTACTGAGCTACTGTACTGACGGTAAAAGACCCAATAGTAAACTGCCAGGGTGAGGTTTCGAAGCCTCTTATATAGTACTACTATTGGCATGTTGCCAAACCACAATTGGCAACCTGCCAATGACCAATTTGGCAAAGTGCCAATGAAACTTAATGACCAAATTATTCTAAGTTCTCACTGAAATGTCACTGAAAATGGTTAAGTCCAACTGTATGAATTATTAAAATTGTCTAAGTCAGTTGAAAAAGCCCAGCCCCTTTGGTTTGATGCAAAATGTTTAAGTATTGAGATACAGGCTCGTGAAAATAACAGAGTCCAGCTAGTCTGGTTATGAAAAATGACTAAGTGTTGCCTATATGATGAGTGTAAAGAACAGAGTTATGGCTTTTGGCTTCAATGATTCTGTTAAGTCTTGATGGACAGCTATGCCGCCATCTTTGGGTAAGAATTGAAACCTGGCATAACATAGAAAAACCCAACAATAGTTATATAAATTACAGTTCTTCAAGGCTAGAAATATGTCATTTATAAAGATATTGAAGAGACAGGGACCAAGAATACTTCCCTGAGGGATGCCTTTCACTATGGTTTGCCATGAGCTAGTTGAATTTGAAATTTTTACTCTCTGTGGCCTGTCAGAGAGGTAACTTTTCAAGAGAGAAGTAGCTGAGTCGCTAACTCCATAGGTGGTGAGTTTGGCTATCAAAATATCATGCGGTAAACAGTCAAACGCTTTGTACAGGTCCATTAACACCGTACCTACCACTTTGTTACTATCAAGGGCAAGCTTCCAGTCTTCGACTAATTTTAGTAACACAGACTGGCAGCTATACCCCTTCCTGAAAGCACTAAGTAGTGGCGATAAAATATTATCAAAATAGCAGGTAAGTTGATCAAAAATAATACCTTCCTGAACTTTAAATAAGCAGTTCAGGATACTCACAGGTCTGTAGTTACCTTTAGCTAGATCGTCCTTCTTTTTATAAATGGGAGAAACTTCAGCTGGCTTCATGCCAGAAGGAAATTTTGAAGTCACCAATGATTTGTTTACAATGGGTGTAAGTGTATGGGCAAGAATGTCAGCTCCAATTTTGATGATTTTGGGGGGATCCTGTCTTCCCCAGTTGCTTTCCTGGGGTTCATGTTTCGAAGTTTATGCTGGACAGCAAACACCATTCTCCAAAGGGCCAAAATTAGACTGATGATTGAAAAGGTTCTAAGAACTTTTATTTTTTTCGGTAGACCCTGAGACTGTAGACCGGAAGTAAATTTACGAGTCGAGTAAAAAGTGATAATGTTCTTGTTATGAAGTTGGGAAGTCAAAACAGTTCTTATAGGAAGTCAAAGTAAGCATTCGAAGATCATTTAGAAGCATGTAAAATCAAATCCACGGCAAAATTGAAATGACTAAAATCTTTGTATGTTTTCTTCTTCGTTTTCTTCGTGGACCTCAGAGAAGACACTTCCGGTTTAATAATCGGTGAGTTTATCGATCAAAAAATATATTTTTATGAATATCTTCGGTATCTGCTTAAATATAGTATGTTTATTTGTGTTGATTGTTAAATTACAAAATAGGTTGGGAAAAAATATGTCCAAGTCGTTTGATCTTGTCCCAGAAGCAATATTTTGTCATTTCCGTCGCTTAGAATTCCTCTAAGGCTGGCTCTCTAGCAAAATTGGCAATCAAAATGCTAAAGAGCCTTAAAATTTAAGGCTCTTTAGCCAAATTGGTTACCAAAATGCTAAAGAGCCTGAAATTTTAGGCTCTCCAGTCACGGCCTTATTTTTGACATCAGGCTGCGCATGCGTATTGGAAGGAGTGGATGGATCGGTAAATATAGTGACAAAGACCTTTCGGACTTTTCTCTTATATTACTAAAGGTACCATTGATAGTGCTGACTGTGAATGACAATTAATAAATGTACATATAACACAAGTCAGTGACTAGCTTCCCTTTATGCAATATCAAAATACTGTACTAAATATATTTCCGGATAAGTTCGATCGTTGCCAGTATAAGCTATGAATATTGAATTTATGAAGAGCAATGACAATTACTAAATGTACATACATGTATAACACAAGTCAGTGACTAGCTTCCCTTTATGCAATACCAAAATACTGTACTAAATATATTTCCGGATAAGTTCGTTGCCAGTAAGCTATGAATATTGAATTAATGAAGAGCAATGACAATTACTAAATGTACATATAACACAAACAGTAGAATAGTTATGTCCAGTATATGTACGACATCAGGAATTAAATGCATTATCAAATGGTAATTAGTTGATTGAATGTAATAAATAATGCATTTAACCCAGCATGAAAGAATGCCAGGACATACATTCTAACTAAAGAAATGCTGATCTGACATCCCCTTTACATTTTTTCTTTTTTTTTGTTTTGAATTGTGAACACCATGACATATACAAACTACTCAAAAGTTTTAAAATAATGGTTTTGAAATTATTTTTAAATTAAAACATATTCGAGTCTAGGTACACGCCCCAGTGACCCCATACCCTTCCGCTACTTGAGTACACAGGTATTACAACTTCTCAGATAGGTGGGGAGGTATGTAGTCTTGGGGGGGGGGGGGAAAGGCTTGTTACTACACTTATAGAAGCTCAATAGGAAAATGAGTAATATACAAACGTGGTGGGGTGATTTTATTGATATTGAACAGAATAATGAGTAATGCCTTGGTCACATTTGCTCTGATTGATTGATTGATTCAAAATTGAATACAATATTGAGCAAAGCACTCAATCGGCCGGTGCCCGGAGCAAATTTGACCCAGGCATAATGGCTACACTAGTTGTTTGAAGTGAGATTAGAATAACAACCGGTCCGATTTACGCAAAATATAAAATAAAACGTAAAAACGGTAACATCAACTTGAAAACATTAAAAATGAATTTTAAGGGTTGACATTGACCCAGGGTGATTACAATTTTGGAACTGGGCATGGTTGATTTTGAAATAAAGCATAAGTTCTAGAAAACAGTTTTAGAGCATAAGCTATAACACAAGTGATAAGTATGAATCGTGTGCCACATGGTTGTTTTAACATGCTTTTTATACATTTTGTTATTCCAAAATCGAAGTGGAAATGGATAGCTTATCTTAATGATTTGCACAATGTAAAAAGAAAGTCATGAAAATGAAAGTCATCAAAGATCTAATAATTAATTAAAAAAAACGTTATGTAACCTACTGTAACTTCATCTCGCTCTTTATCAGAATTGGCCACGTGCTGTAGTCATTGATGAGTTCTATCACTTGGAAAGTGAAATAGCCAGAGCAGCCGAAAAATATGCCGAGCCACACTAATCTACGAAACAAATGCACGCTAGTTTTAAAAGATCGTGGAAGGCCGTGGAGAGTTGTATTGTCCGCAAAATCATATATACGTTCTTTAAATGTGGGAAGCTTATCCTTTTGTTGATTATGACTTTCTATTTTTACATCCATCTTGATTCAGCCTTTTCTAAATTCAACTCGTCTGTATTGTATGTCTCTCATCGCCGAATGCCACTTAAATGAGTCCAATATCACATATAATGAAATAACCAATTATATAATTGTATACCCCAACGCATAGGCGATGTTAAAGGCATTGTTTCTAAACTAATTAATTTTATTAGTTCTCATTAATTCTAGTTCTAGTTAATTCTAGATTCTAGTTCATCTAATTCAATTTGTGTTGTTACAGGAATCGGTGGATGTACCAAGACTGCATTCACTCTATGAATTTGGTAATCCTCGAAAGTCTTCATTGGGTAGCAGATTAGAGCCAGTAGATGTTTGATTCTTAATTCTGCTTTTTAATTGGTTCATTAACAGTTTGACGAGTCTTTTAAATCACCAAATATAAACAGGTGTTTATAGTTGAAACACTTTTGGTTGGCATATTCATGGAGGGGGGTGTACGTAGAAAATAAAATAAATGTCCTCATAACATTTAAACACAATTGGAATATCATGTGTGATCATTTGTCTGGTAGGTTTCTGACTGTACTAGCTGCATTGTTTTTAACATCAATATTAATTCACTAGGTTACCTCATATGATATTGACATTGCAGTAGTGGGCATCTCTGAATCGAACAATTGAGAAGTATTCTATCGACATGAACGGCTTCTCTTATGCGTATGTACGGGTTGTTCTGAAAGTATGGGACCCCCTAGACACACATACAGTATAATGATGTATCCAGAGAATATGTTATATTTCATTTTAAAGGTTATCCAACGTTACATTGATTTGCAAAGTAGTATGGTTCTACAAAACAGGAATAAATGATATATGACATATAACATCGAGGTGTATTCCAAAATAATTTTCTGAAAATGCCCGGTGAAAACATTATGAAGACATATTCAACAAAATCTGCTCTTAAATACAGCAAATATTCTTTCAGTTAAGGACCTACATGTATACAGGAGCTCACTAGAGATACCCTCCCTTTATGTACATAGAGAAGGGTTTGAATTTCTTTTCAGAACAACTCTAAGTCTGTTCTGATACCTGCGATAACTAGAGTATTCAAAATTCATTCAATAGTTCTAGAATGCGAGGCTGATGTGTATATTAACCTATTGATTAAGTAGCTATAAAGTCCAGAAATTGATTGTCAAATATACGGGTAGTAACCAAAGTATAAGAGATTTTAGTTTCCGTATATTAAATTGGTATTTGGAAGTGCGTGATTATGGCATTATTTTTGCTTCTTAATTCATTTAATTCAAATATATTCGATATATGAAATATTTATATTCGCTAAATCATTTTTCCATTCGGTAAAAACGTTTATATATGTTTGTTTGTTACAGCAAATTAAGTTTTCAAAATAGCCAATCACTTAATACATTAATACTATGTGCATTAAATTACATATTTCATTCGTTAAATGATATTTTTTACGTAAATTGTTATGGTATTCCTTAAGAGTAACACATTATATGCACAATATTGAATTTCTACTTGAACCCTACCGAAATAAGTTTGCTTATATTTACCAAATGGTTTATTTTTCTATGACATAGTTAATGCATTTTACCGAAAGTTAATTTGCTATTTACCGAATGCAATAAAGTAATATTCGATAACTTGCGTTGTTGTTCGATATTTCTTCACGTGACTTCGAGATTTGCAAAATGGCTGCGCAGCTATTCTACATAGTACAAATATATCACGTGACTGAAACTCTCGTAAATTATCGAAAAAAAGAAATTTATCGAATGTGGCATTCGGTATTTACCGAATATGAATAATTTAAATACCGAATGTACAAATAATTAATTGAATTATATGTGCAAATACATGTATAAATATCAAATGTGAATTGTCAATACAAAGAACAAGTGAAACTATTTAGCGAATATAAATTGTATACTAGCTTATTACATTTGACAAAATAAAAAACATTCGATAGATTGGGTAAAGGTTTGGTAAATTGTTTGTTTCATTTGGTATTTATGGAATATTAATGTACCGAATAAAGAAGCAGTTTAAACACCATACGCGATATCACAGCTGATATTCAATGATTTTCGTTTTTACTTGCTTCCTGACGTACTTAATATTTCATATTAATCCAAGGAGTTCAAAATATTTTTATGGCAAATCACTCAAAAATACAATATTTATTCGCTCTGTCATTTACAATATACATATTGGAATAAGGTCATTTATACATAATATCTTACACCCCAGTCACATATCCTACGGCGACCTTGCGGTCTATCATATCTGCGGCCAGTAACATTTCTACGCTCGCCGTGGAATTTCTGCGCTCTCATACTTTTGAAGTCACATTTCCCACGGCAGCCGCACGGTGAGTTAAAAATTTATGTTGATAAATAATACTTTTTTCATTTTATTTACATCGGGACAATTTATAAATGTTGTTCATAGTGCTAGGATGTAATATCAAATGAAAAGTGATCGTGAAACATTGACAAATAATGATTCAATCTTGTTGAGCCAGTTGATTTCTACGGGGACCTCAAAAATGAACAAATATTATAACTCCGAGTTATAATTTCTACGGCGACCCTGCAGCCTGTAAAAAACTGGATACGCCGTACGGAGGCCGCAAGGCGAGCGTAGTTTTCCTACGCTCGCCGCAGAAATACACTGATTTAATTGATCTGCAGTCGACGCACGGCCTCCGTACGACAAATGTGACTGGGGTGTAAGAATATCACACTAAAAGAGCTGTGCAATACGTAATCAAACGCTTCATAAGCGATGCGTTATACGAGAATAATAAACATGTATTGATAAGAAAAATTACCTCAAACTTATAGCTTAGAAACCTAAATCATATATTTAAAATCATTGTGTATTATTTTGTGTTGCACTGTGTACTCCAAATTGTGAAAAATTGGAATTTTATTTTTTGGTGATTTTTTCTGCGCTCTCATACTTTTGTAGTCACATTTCCCACGGCAGCCGCACGGTGAATTTTAAATTTCTGTTGATAAATAATACTTTTTTCATTTTATTTACATCAGGACAATTTATAAATGTTATTCATAGTGTTAGGATGTAATATCAAATGAAAAGTGATCGTGAAATATTGACAAATAATGATTCAATCTTGTTGAGCCAGTTGATTTCTACGGGGACCTCAGATTTAATTGATCTGCGGTCGACGCACGCCCTCCGTACGACAAATGTGACTGGAGTGTAACACATAAGTCTTACACCCCAGTCACATTTCCTACGGCGACCTTGCGGTCTATCATTTCTGCGGCCAGTAACATTTCTACGCTCGCCGTAGAATTTCTGCGCTCTCATACTTTTGCAGTCACATTTCCCACGGCAGCCGCACGGTGAATTTTAAATTTCTGTTGATAAATAATACTTTTTTCATTTTATTTACATCAGGACAATTTATAAATGTTATTCATAGTGCTAGGATGTAATATCAAATGAAAAGTGATCGTGAAATATTGACAAATAATGATTCAATCTTGTTGAGGAAGTTGATTTCTACGGGGACCTCAGATTTAATTGATCTGTGGTCGACGCACGCCCTCCGTACGACAAATGTGACTAGAGTGTAACACATAAGTCTTATTCCCATTATTGGGGAAAGTCGTAAGACGGCTCATCATCCCCGCCCACCATTGTTCCAACTCCGGAGCGTTTCTTTGTTTAGTTTCAGTTATGAAACACTTCGTCGGGCGATTTGGTTGGACACCGTTGACTAACGTCAAGTAAAACACATTTAGAGAAAGAGATAATCAAAAACTGCAAAATTCATTACACAATGTCAATACGAGTCTACATTGACCTATTTGAGCTTAAATACAGATCTCAATTCGGAGCAAATAAAATAGAATCTCATGTTATACATGCAATGTACACGTAGGCTAATAGAAACAATTATTTATATCTAAAATCTATGCAAATATACATACAATATGGATATTGCATGCAGTTGTTTAAACACATGTTCACGTTACAATTCTAAAATTCTACATCATAAAAACCTCGCTAAATCAGTTTCAGAGTTCGTACTCAAGAGGAAGTACACGAGTTCGTACTCAAGAGGAAGTACACGAGACATTGCATTGGAAAATACGTCGAACATTACAATTATATCATGAAACCTGACACAAACATCATTAAGATATTGGGTAATATCCTAGATGCGAGTAGAAATAATCTTGATTTACGTCATTAAAAATTCTCAATTCAGTCAAATTGGTATCATATTTGGAATCTCCATATAAAACTACATCTAAAAATGTGGTCTTGAAAAGAGTTTATCAACTTTGAAAATTTAATTTTCTTTGAAAATATGACTTCTAGGTCAGGGAGATTCCCCATAGACCCCATGTTGTAAAACTACAAAAAGTGAAATATATTTTCTTCTACTGGACTTAATTTGTATAACTATCACATACATAAGGGTAATATGAAAAGTGAACCACTAAAACTGATGCATATTCCAGTTTAAGGGAATTTCGTGATACCCTGCCATATTATTTCCCCCGAGTCAGCCACCTGGTGGCGAAACTGGTAACTACTTACTCGCATCTGAGTTGAGAGCGAGGTAGAACTAATTGCAAACGGGCTTAAACTGATTAAGAACGTATTAAAGACTGCTTATGGACGAGTTAGCAAAAATATAACTATATCACATCAAACAAGTTGCCACTGCGTTCTTCAAAACTGGTATTGGTCAGCAAAGGTGATATTGACATTTTTGAAATTTTGTAATAAATTGTCAATTGTCTTTCAAAATATTTTTTGGGTGCCAAAATGCTTGTTTTCTAAAAGAAAAATATACAATCTTTCAAATAAAAATAAGGTAAAAACTTTTCTAGAACTGAACATTTTCGCACAAAAACCTGTTGAAATCAATGTAAGGCATAATTCAATAATCAGTGATTTCAAGCGCAACTTACATCTACTTACGTCTTTCTTATTCATATTTCAAAATATACGACAGCCTTGCCCAAGTCGGTCTCTTTTTCTTATCTTGATTTCTATTAT